AGGAATAGTGCCCCATCATTGGAGTCAGTGGGAGGAATAGTGTCCCATCATTGGTGTCAGTGGGAGGAATAGTGTCCCATCATTGGAGTCAGTAGGAGGAATAGTGCCCCATTGTTGGTGTCAGTGGGAGGAATAGTGCCCCATCATTGGTGTCAGTGGGATGAATAGTGCCCCATCACTGGGGTCATTGGGAGGAATAGTGCCCCATTGTTGGTGTCAGTAGGACAATTTGCCCTATGTGCAGTGCATTGCAGTACCATTCATGAAGAATGGCACCCCAATGCATTGTACAGTAGAGTCCATAAGCAGTGCACCATAACGCATATACCATGCATTGTGCTGTATTGTTCAAAATGTGTCATGCAATCTTTCTCATTTCTTGTGGTGTGTTGGCTGCTCGTTCATAATGAATCGGCTGCCTTAGCGCAAACCATCACAACTGATTACTTATATAACTGGGCCCTAAACGTCGGAAGTTGTCCCAACCCTTAAACAGCTGTGATGGACTCTGCATGCAGCATGCAATGTATATAATACGCATTTCGCGTGTTTTTCTTTCTTGTGTCGGGAAGGAAGAGAAAAAGATTTAACACATTTAAATCCAGTGACCTCCCATTGCCCTCCTAAATAATTGCAGGTGTCCTATTGTGCGGTGCTGTGCTTGCTGAACAGGATTTCCAGGGAGGAAAATAATACAATCTGGTTTATTAAAGCAGCGCAATGTCAGTCAGTTTACATACGCACTGCGCTTCTTCTGTCTTCTCATAGTTAGTGGAGGTCTGGCAGATGTATAAAAAAAATAAAACAGGAAAAGTGCAATACAGGCAAAATGAATCTACTCCTATCAACCAATCAGAATCAGCCTTCGCCGATCTGGTTCTACTGAACTGATATTCAGTTGCTATAAGTTGCTTCTTTTTGTGCCTTGTCGCTGCGAATGAATAGGGCTGACTGAATGTTTCGATGTGGCTTAGAATTAAGAATGGCCATAATTACATCTGAAAATAGAACTTTTTTTTTTAGTTTCGATAGAATAAGGAAAGCTTAGAACCCCTGTCAGGTTTTCTATACTACTTCCTGTTCCCGGCGACACAAAAGGAAGTGAGTAAAAAGTTCTCCAAGGTGAGGGGAACTTCGACCTTAAACAAATGTCACCAGAACAGGTGACCCCATTGGAAGATTTACCCTCTATTCCTGCTAAGTGGACAAGTGTATCATATTTGGAGCTCCCATCCGTCCCTGTCCCACTGATGATGGTCATATAAAGGTGATGGCAGAAAATACTAAGCAGTCCATCGAGTCTGCTCCCTTTTTTGTGTTTTATTTAACTTAATTTGTTATCCTTTTTGCCCGAGCATAGATCTATGTTTGTGCCAAGAATGTGTAAATTCACTTACTGTTGACTGATTACCTCTGCCGGAAGTGAGTTCCAAACATCAACTACTATTTCTGTAAAATAAGACTTTCTAAAGGTTAATTCTGAACTTTCCTCCTCCTGGTTCTTCCTGTGTTCTTGTTCTTAGCAACATGTAGAAAACATGGCCCTGCTGAACCTTATTCACACCCTCCATGTATGTAAAGGTTTCAGTCATGTCCCCCCTTCTCTTCTTCCCTCCAGAGTGGACATATTAAGTTCCTCAAAACTTTTACCATTTGTGTTGCCTTCTTTAAGCTCATTCTATCTTATCAATATCTTTTCATAAGTGAGATCTCCAAAACTGGACACAGTATTCTAAATTATTTAAATATCTATATAGCGGAATCAGGACCTCCTTCCTCCTGCTGGAGATCCCTCTAGTGATAATAAAGATCTATATAGGGGAATCAGGACCTCCTTCCTCCTGCTGGAGATCCCTCTAGTGATAATAAAGATCTATATAGGGGAATCAGGACCTCCTTCCTCCTGCTGGAGATCCCTCTAGTGATAATAAAGATCTATATAGGGGAATCAGGACCTCCTTCCTCCTGCTGGAGATCCCTCTAGTGATAATAAAGATCTATATAGGGGAATCAGGACCTCCTTCCTCCTGCTGGAGATCCCTCTAGTGATAATAAAGATCTATATAGGGGAATCAGGACCTCCTTCCTCCTGCTGGAGATCCCTCTAGTGATAATAAAGATCTATATAGGGGAATCAGGACCTCCTTCCTCCTGCTGGAGATCCCTCTAGTGATAATAAAGATCTATATAGGGGAATCAGGACCTCCTTCCTCCTGCTGGAGATCCCTCTAGTGATAATAAAGATCTATATAGGGGAATCAGGACCTCCTTCCTCCTGCTGGAGATCCCTCTAGTGATAATAAAGATCTATATAGGGGAATCAGGACCTCCTTCCTCCTGCTGGAGATCCCTCTAGTGATAATAAAGATCTATATAGGGGAATCAGGACCTCCTTCCTCCTGCTGGAGATCCCTCTAGTGATAATAAAGATCTATATAGGGGAATCAGGACCTCCTTCCTCCTGCTGGAGATCCCTCTAGTGATAATAAAGATCTATATAGGGGAATCAGGACCTCCTTCCTCCTGCTGGAGATCCCTCTAGTGATAATAAAGATCTATATAGGGGAATCAGGACCTCCTTCCTCCTGCTGGAGATCCCTCTAGTGATAATAAAGATCTATATAGGGGAATCAGGACCTCCTTCCTCCTGCTGGAGATCCCTCTAGTGATAATAAAGATCTATATAGGGGAATCAGGACCTCCTTCCTCCTGCTGGAGATCCCTCTAGTGATAATAAAGATCTATATAGGGGAATCAGGACCTCCTTCCTCCTGCTGGAGATCCCTCTAGTGATAATAAAGATCTATATAGAGGAATCAGGACCTCCTTCCTCTCATGGTACACCACTGCTGACTGGTATCTCTTCCGAATTACCCCCAATTTACAACCACACATTGATAGCTATCATTTAGGCAACTACCTATCCTCGGAACCACCCAGGGGTTACGTCTTAGCTTGTATAAGATTATTATGGTGAGGTGGACATTAAGGAACCAAAAAGACCTCCAATAACTCGGTAGAGCCTTCCTAAAAAAGAAGGTTCCTCTGTGTCTTACTTTGCAATGGTTTTTAAATAAAATCTCTTCCCCTGCTAGCAATGCTTTACTGATTTTACAGTGATAGTCATGCATGCACAGCTCATTGTACAGGACCAAGTAAATCCTATGCGCAAGGATAATATCATTCTGGCTCAGCCAATAGAGAAGACAGAAGGCTCTGGACCTGGAAGATGACCGGAAGAAGGTGACAGTGATGGAATGGCCCTAGGAAATCTTACCATAATGTGCACACTTGCACATTATTGCAAGAGCTCCCGGGGGCCCTTAAACTATCGTCCGGCTTTAATCTACCGTCCGCTTTGACAGCTAGTAGTGTGCAGCACCTTGTGCTCCTAGCTGCCAAACTGAGCTGTCACTGACAGCTTCTGGTCTCTACTAAGGGTTGAATACCAATCAGTAATGTTCCTGATCATGTGACCGCTGCGTCAGCTGTGATATGGTAGTCACATGGCTTTGTTAGTAAACAGCTGTCAGTGCCAACTGTATTTTCTTGTACAGAAAACAAATATTTTTTATGAAAGGAGACAGTATTAAAATTAGGGATGCACAGATACTTTTCGAGTACTTGGCATTTTCACGAGAACTACCAGGGTTGCAGCGGTTGCAGCTGGGACCTGGCTCTGGCGCTCCTCCACTGTCCTGAAATCATTAGTCTGTATTGTTTTAGAAAAACTGTCACATGACAATAAACAAAAATGTATCAGTACTTGTATCTGTGAGTACTCGGCAAGTACAAGTACTCACAAAACGGGTATCTGTGCATCCCTTTATTTATATGTATAAAAACAAAATCATACATTAAAACAGAGACATACAAATCCCGGGAGCTCCGTGTGCTCCTTACACATGACAGCTGCCTCATAATTTTTGAATTTTTCTCTAGTGTAGTCTTGGAGCTCAAAAGTATCGGTACATGTACTCGTACTTGTACCGAGTACTGTACTTGGTATCTGTGCAACCCTAATTAAAATAAATAAATAAAAACAGTTAAAGTTAAAATCAAAATGGACATCAATGACCTCTAGTCACAAAAGGGTTAAACAAAGCTGCAGGTATAAACCGTGTACTATTTAATCCCCATTCAATGGGCAACGTGTTTAATTAAAAACAGACAATAAAGTATAAACTTATACATTTTACTGCAAATAAACAAATATTAAAATAAAATATATTTATGCATAGATATCATATTATGTAACATATATTACATTCAAGTAAAAATAGGGTCGGGAGCACAAACTGTATTCACGATGTTCCCGTTGTTTTATGCAACCGATACGATAAGGGATTTTAACGCCTTCAGATGAGTTCAGATTTAGAAAGGATTCCAAATGGTCTTTCCTTTCCTGCTTTACTCTGTTCTTTGACAGACGACAAATGGTGGAGCAATCTAGAAGAATTAAAATATGAAAATATAAAGTTCTAACGTCCTATCTCGATGGCTGCATGAGAGTGAAAACGTAAAAGAAAGTCTTGAGAATCCTGAAAAGTCCGATGCTGTTGATGTTGAAAAAAAGTCCAGCACGTTGATATCTGCCCGGGTTCGGTGGTTCTGCTAGAAGTAGATATGTGGTAGCCCAACTAGTTAGCCGGGTTTGTGGGTGGAGCCCCGCACAGTTAAACCCCCCCCTCATTCCACTACTCACGTGTCTGCGTGTTGGTGTCATCCCACCCTCATCGCCCTTTTCATCAACATCTACTCTGAGTATGTTCCCTTATTTTGCATACTGACCATAGTGACCCGAGCACACCCCAGGTCTATGTAGGCAGGTTCGTGATCTCTCTTTTCAGATTTGTATTCAGTGGGGCTCTGACTACAAATTAATTTATGTAACAAAAACTTTTTTCGAACACATGTGAAGTCCATCTTGCATTGTCTCCACTGTTGCCATGATGACAAGGAACAAGTAATTAGATCAAGTCTTTGCAGTGCAGCAGATGGTCTCTGGTCAAGACTCGGACAAAATGCTCTGAGCGGCAGTCTGGACCATAGTCATTCCTTCCGACCGGAACTGCTGGCTGATGTTTATCATGGAGATAAGTAGAAGAAATACCACAACAAGGTCATCGATGGTGCTGAGGATTCCACACAGGGGGTCAGGGACAACAGCGAATGGTGAAGACAAGAACGTGATGGCCCCGAAGGAGCAGACCGCCAGCCTGATAAAGAAGATCCCCACGAGTCCACCCATGGTGAAGACCCTTCTCAGGGCAAGGTGCAGTAATAATGGCAGGTCGTACAGGTAATCTGTGAGCTGGAACAAAAAGAAAAGCTTGGTTGAAGCAACGGTGGACACACATTATATATGTTGTATGTATTGCTATCCGTGGAGATCCAACTCTCTATTTTTTTTATGGTAATGAGAAATCTAAAATTCCAAATACACTTGTGACTAGAACAGGAGGTTGGGGCAAATCTTTCAATGGGGACACCTGCTCTGTTGACAATTGATAGAGGGGTTCCCTTCACTTCCAGTTGTTACTCTGGAACTAGAAGTGAAGGAATATCTCCCCAAGGGAATACAGACATGAAAGTATGTAGGTGAGCATCGGCACTCCTCGCAACATAAAGCTTAAAGGAGAATTATGAGGCGAGTGATTTTCACTCAGCCTCATAATCTGAGCTGACCTGTGACAATGAGACTGTCACAGGCCGGCTCAGTAGATCGGGAAGCCCTAACCCCATAGTTCTCCTTTAAGTGTAATCTGGTTATATTTGGCCTTCCCTGGTTCCCCCCTCACCTACATACTAATGAAATTCGAATTGGCCTGACAGCCAGGCAACTGCCATGTTTAGAAGGTTAGTAATGGAGGGCCCCATATCTCTCTTAGTAAAGATCTCCTTTAAACCCCTTACATATGGTGTGGGGGATTCCATTAAAAAAAAAAAAAGTTATTTTATGTTGGCACCTCTGAGCAATTTTTTTTGCACATTGCTATGGAGTGAAATACTTACAGGTCGAGGTTTGCCAGAGAAGCGATTATTGTAATGTCTGATATCTTGTAGCATCGCTCTGTTCATCTTATCTTGTTGGACGTCACAAATGTTGCAGAGGTAATGGACCTGCCGGAAGAAAATAAACTTTTATAGCAGGACTGTAAGAAGATGTGTAGAATGATGAAGATGTTTAGATGGGGAGAGCTGCGATCAGAGCAAGCCAGGCATAGCTCAACTACCCTACTGAGATCTCTAGCACTTAATCACTAAGGGTAGCAATGGATGGCTAAACATGATAAAAATGGCTTCCTATAGTGAAAACAACACAAGGAGCACGTGGCAGTAGTAGAAATTAGGGCTGTGCAAATTAATGATTAATTTCTCAATTAATCGTTAATCTTTTTGATCGATTAAACATTTTTTAAAACTTTCTGCACGAGCGCCAGCCAAGGCATTGGCCTATACACATACAGCACAGCAATGAAGTAATAAAATGAACTAGGATAACACTAATCCAGCACGTTATTATTCTAAACTGCCCCACTCAGTTACTGTATGTGCGGTTACTACATGCTACATTATATGGCCAAGTTGGTCGACACTTGACCATCCCACCATTATGAGCTTGTGGAACACCCCATTCCAAAACCAAGGCCATTATTATGAGGTTTGCAGCCATAACAGTCCCACTCTGCTGGGATGGCTTTAAAACAGCATTTATGAGCTTGGGTACTGATGCTGAATGAGAAAACCTGCATTGCAATTCATCCCAAAGATATTTAATAGGGTTGAGGTGCAGGACATGCGAGTTCCCCCACACCAAACTGGTCATGTCTTTATGGATCTGGCTTTGAGCACAGGGGCCCAGTCGTGCTGGAACAGAAAGTGGCCTTCACCAAAGTGTTGCTGCCCCTGTCATTTACCTGTATGGCTATTAACATTTACTTTAATGATTTTGTTGCTAATTACAGAAAGATCATCAGTGAAATCTCATCACTGTGGGCCTCCGTGCTAAGTGTATCGTCACTGAACTAGACATGCTCTTTTTGAATAATGCCATTGTAATGTTTTTATACATAAGCCTCAATTATCAATCAAGGTACCTTTTGCCTGCAGATGGGACAACTGATGGCTCCCATCCATGGGTCATGTTTCCAGTACTCGATAAGACAGGAACCTAAAGGGCACAAACAGAACAATAACTATTACATGTCCTCCTTTCATTACTTATAGCAACACAAAATGAATAACAACATTCCATTTTATGGTAAATCTAGAATATGAAAAATGTTACAAAAACACGCAAATTATCTTGAAACTGAATGTATTTTATAGACCCATCACCACTGGTACAAATGGCGAAGTATACTATATGATAGGGATGCACCGATACCGAGTATGTGGTCGAGTACTCGTACTCGCCCAAATGCTCCGATGCCCAGCCCGTATCATGAAGCCTGGCAGCGTGTCATTACACGCTGCCCGGCTTCTTGATTGGCCGGGAAGCCAGCTCCATGCTCCCTCATCACTTCTGGGGCCGGGAAGCCAGCTCCATGCTCCCTCGTCACCCGACCATCTCCTCTATATGAGCTTGTTGGACATCATATTCCAAACCATGGAGTTGACCACCTTTTGCAAATGTAACAGCCTCCACTCTTCTGGGAAGACTTTCCATGGGATTTTGGAGTGTATCTGTGGAGAATTGGTGCCTACTCAGCCAAAACAGCATTTGTGAGGTCAGGTACTGATGTTGGATGAGAAGACCTGGCTCACAGTTGGAATCCCATACAGTTGGTGATCCATTTCATCTCAAAGGTGTTCAGTAGGGTTGAGGTCGGGGCTATGTGTAGGAGACTTGAGTTCCTCCACATCAAACTCATCAAACCATGTCTTTATGGAGCTGGCTTTGTACACAGGGGCACAGTCATGGTAGAACAGAGAAGGACTTTCACTAGACTGTTGGAAGAGCCTAATTATCCAAAATGTCTTTGTATGTTGGAGCATTAACAGAATCCATCACTGAAGTCACCTGAACTCATTTGGGGGGTTGTCCTCATACTTTTAGCCATATAGTGTATTTTTGCTTTTAGAATAAACAATTGAATACCTCTCTGGCTTTAAAATGGTTTTAAACAACCAATCTAGAACTGTATAAATATTGAACTGGTTTTGTGTGACTCTTAATATCATTTTAGGGAAAATCATTTCTAATATATCTACAGCTCCAATAACACCCACACACCAAAAAAAACAGATTTCAGGCAGTTTCAGTAGCAATAATGAATATTGTATTTGTTTACAACATACATAACTCTTTCCTGTTTGTCAGGTTTAATGTGCTTTTAGTAGTAAGATCTTAATGGGTGGAGGGCACTGCGTGAAGGGTTAACAAGCCGATGGGCGATGAAGCTTCGCAGGTGCCCGGCTCTATTAATGATCTCTCTGAAGAAGAACACTGATAATTACTCCGAGCGCATGAATACATATTTACATTCCGGTTTTCCTGGTGATTTCCTGGACATATGTTCCGGGACCAGTGTGAAAATGAAAGGCCAGCTGAGCAGGAATCAGGACAAACTGGGTCAGACGTTTCCTGCCCGTAATTGGTGACGGTTCCTCAAGGTATACAATGACTTATTCATCTAGCCAGGACCCCGGGCACTTCCTGAGCAGGGCTGCCCAGCTGGCGTTATGGCCCAGCCGGCAGATACAATCCCATTTTCTCCAGTCTCTCTCTCTCTCTCTCTAAAGCTCCTTCCTCCATTACCGAGCATGTGATGATCCGTATAATTGCTGTCTGCTGTCAGCTACATGCGTGCTATGGGGAGCGTTTGTAGAACTTGTACAGGCTGAATATGTGGGCAAAAGACTCAATTCACAAAGCTTTAACTCAAGGATAGGTATCTTTATTTTAGCCACATGACTATAGTATTCAAATCTCATTGGGCTCAGCTGAACATCACAGCCAGGGCTGGCTTTCCCACAAGGTCAACCAAGGCCCGGCCTCAGGGCAGCAGGGAGTAGAGGGGCAGCAGGGGTGTGGAATTCCTATCTCCCGACCCCTGGGACATGTTGTTCCGGGTGCGGGGCGGGTAGTTGTTTTCTACATTTAGCCCTGCTTTGGGCAAGCAGAGCTAAATGTACAGCGGGGAAGCCGCCGCTTGTTCTGTACAAGTGACCTCGGCGATGTCGCCGAGATCACTTGTATGCAGCCTGCAGGTCTGCCGTTCTCCATTGTGGTTTGGCGGCTAGGTGGGCGCATTGAGAAACCTAGCCTTGGGGCAGCAGAGAGAGTAAATCCGGCCCTGATCACAGCTACTTTCAGTTCACCTAAGTGTGTTAGCTTTGTGAATTGAGTCTAAAGTGACAGTTGTTTTCAGCCAATGAGATATGAAAAATACATTCACATGACTTAAAAAATGGATCCTTATCCTTGTGTTAAAGTGTAGAGTTGGCTTGGCCATACATGTAAAGATTGCTCCCCTGCTGGTTAGTGTAGTCTGACATTCAGCACCCGCAGTGGTCAGAGAACCTCAACAATCAGCTGTAGTCACTATTCAAGCAACTACAAATAAAAGTTTGTTGAGTCAGGTGGTGCCAGAAGAGCCACTCATGGCAGATTCAGAGGAATGCGACAAAATTCAAGCCATGTATGGACAGCCTAAGTACAACCAAAACATGGGTTTGTTTTAGTTTTGCATAGAGTAGGGAAGGGTTGAAGCCCCAATTCAATTCCAATGGGGACACCCGTTTTGGTGACAACTGCCTATTAGGTGAATTATCTGAGCTTTGGAGAGATTTAATCTCACTTCCAATTGCGTCACTTGGAAGTGAAGGGAAATCTCCCCAACAGGACTTTGACAGTAACTCAGCTGCGAAGTGGTAGGCCACGTAAAATGACAGAGCGGGGTCAACGCATGTGCGCAGAAGTCGCCAACTGTCTGCAGAGTCAATAGCTACAGACCTCCAAACTTCATGTGGCCTTCAGATTGGCACAACAACAGTGCGTAGAGAGCTTCATGGAATGGGTTTCCATGGCCGAGCAGCTGCATCCAAGCCTTACATCACCAAGTGCAATGCAAAGCGTCGGATGCCGTGGTGTAAAGCACGCCGCCACTGGACTCTAGAGAAGTGGAGACGTGTTCTCTGGAGTGACCAATCACGCTTCTCTGTCTGGCAATCCGATGGACGTGTCTGGGTTTGGCGGTTGCCAGGAGAACGGTACTTGCCTGACTGCATTGTGCCAAGTGTAAAGTCTGGTGGAGGGGGGATTGGGGGGGGGGTTGTTTTTCGGGGGTTGGGCTTGGCCCCTTAGTTCCAGTGAAGGGAACTCATAAGGCATCAGCATACCAAAGACATTTTGGACAATTTCATGCTCCCAACTTTGTGGGAACAGTTTGGGGATTTGGGGATGGCCCCTTCCTGTTCCAACATGACTGCGCACCAGTGCACAAAGCAAGGTCCATAAAGACATGGATGGGGGAGTTTGGAGTGGAGGAACTTGACTGGCCGCACAGAGTCCTGACTTCAACCCGATAGAACACCTTTGGGATGAATTAGAGTGGAGACTGCGAACCCGGCCTTCTCCCCCAACATCAGTACTTGACCTCACAAATGGTCCAACATTTCCCATAGACACGCCCCTAAACCTTGTGGACCAAGTCCCAGAAGAGTTGAAGCTGTTATAGCTGCAAAGGGCGGAGCCAACTCTATATTAAACCCTACAGACTAAGGCTGGGATGTCATTAAAGTTCATGCGCGTGTAAAGGCGTCCCAATACTTTTTGCAATATAGTGTATGGCCGTTGTCTCTGACAGCTTTACGTAGCATTAAACTGTATACTATTATAATGTGTGGCCCTTTGGTGATGTCATGGGCCGCACTTGAAGCCCCCTATATCAAGAAAGTTGACCACCACTGGTATAAAATGTACAATAAGGCAGCAAATGATACCGCATTTCGTCTCATCTGGCAGCAGGTGGCGCTGTGCAATGCTAATGAACAATGTGCCACCAAAAACGTACGCGGTTTGTAGCGGCCTTGCGAGAAAGCGCGCAGAGGATTTAAAAATAGCCCACCAGGTCCAATGTAGTGAAAAACTCTAAAATAACGATCTCATCCAGGTCAGGCGTTCCTGGGCTTGGCGCCATGTCACCGCGGGTTTATGCATGATGCAATGTCAAACAGAGGATACGTTTTAACCCTTTTTTGTCCAGGAAGCCAGGACAGATTTTTACAGGTCAGTGCCAGACTGATGCAAGAGAGGGCAAAGCAACCGAGTCATCGTTGCACGGCCAATCTTGTCATTTATGATAATGGACTTTTGGCGCTCAGTCAGCCTTTAATATGGGGCGCAGTGACCTTGCAACGCTACCTGATGGCAGGGAATGAATAAGCTCTCTGAGTCAGGTCAGGAAAGGATGAAGAGCGCCAGGCGGTGGTGATCCCCGAGCCGCGCGGTCACATTGGCTCCAAACAGCCAATTGGCACACGCCGAACTGCCGCTCGTAATTTATAACTGTGGCCAAAATAAAAGGGTTTCCCATGGACTGGAATAAAGATGGAGAAAACCTTTGGAGGAAATCTGTCACAGTTAAAAAAAAATGCAGGAGGGCTCCAGAAGGCACTCTAGGGGTCCCCAAAGCCAGGGAACATCTAATATGCAAATCTTGCCTTGTCAGATGCAGACAGGACCCCTGACATGCCACAGTGCAATTAAGGGAACCCGCATTGCATTGTGAGTAGTGCAAACCCATTGGAATCCAGAGTGAGGAGAAAGATCCTTTTTGTCATCGCCGGAACAGGTGTCCCCATTGGAAGATTTCTCCTCGTCCTGTTTTGGTGACAACTGTGGAATTTTGCATTCTTAATTTCTCTACCAGAGATAATGGTCTCCAAGACAAATAGAGAGGGTGACTCTACCAAGTCGGTGCACGCGCAACAATAAAAACCCATAAAACGTCCAATAAGAGCACCAAAAATAGGTCTAACAGCCTAAATAAAGTTCTGAATCACCAAACGACAACACAGAACAGTCAAAGTAGTAAACTAGTCACTGCTCCAAGTTCGCTACTGTGATGGACTACAATCTAATTTTTAGTTTGCTAATTTGTATTGAGATTGTAGTCCATCCCGGGAGCGAGCTTGGAGCGGTGACTACTTTACAACACACACAGGGACCATGGGGAACAAAAGTCCCCCCCCCCCCCTCCAGAAGGAAGGACGGTGTCAGCACCAATTCAGGCCAGGTTCACACTACGGCGATCTGTGACCGTGCGACAAACTGTGCACAAAACCGTGCGGATGGCTGCGTGGTCACGGAATCACCCACCTCCGCCGATCGCGCTGGCGGTGCCATTGTTTTCTAATGGCACCCCAGTCACGCCGGCCCGGGCAGATCATGTGGTTTCCCCGCCAAGATTCAGCTCGTATAATCGAACGCGATCGGGTCTAAAAAAGCCGCTCGCTGTGTGTCCTAAAAAAGGTACATGTACCTTTTTTCTGCAATTGCCATGCGGATGTCACCCTATTGAAATCAATGGAGCCGCGCGGCAACCGCACACAATCGCGTAGTCCCGGGACGCGCGTCCCGAATTACCCAGATCTGCACCAGCCCTCAGAGATGATTGGAGGATCTACAGCCGAGTGATACACAAATAAGATACATTGTTGTTCAGAGTTCAGGTTCCAGAATGGATTTATAAGATGGAACTCCGGAGTTTAGTGTCACTTTGAAGTTGGAAGCACAGAGAGTGATGGCAGAAATTATTTTTTAACTTTTGTAACTTTTTTTGTTGTCTGAGTTTACATCTACAGTATATTTGTCCCAAAAGGTCTCTACACTTCCGGCTATCCGGCAGGTTTGGCATTCTCGGTGTAACGAAAGGTCTGTGGACGTGGGAAGCGAGCGGCTGTCCTAACAAGTCATGGCTTTAATACGTCCTCCGTCTATGAGATTTTCCATCCTAACCCTCCTTAATCATTTCTCAGATGGACTCTGGTGTTTGCTGTCGCCGCACCTCCCTCCATCCACTGATATAGTAGAGGGTGTGCGTGTCCGGGGCGGCTGTGATTGGCTCGTGGCGGCTCTTACACAATGCACAGGTCACGTATTGACTTTACAGCACGGGCCTCTGTTATGGTGCCATTAAAGTGTATGTAATCTCTCACAATGAACCTCTCTTATTTGCTCCCTTTTGGTCTGTTGATTGTTCCGTTGAAAGATTTTTTTTTAGCATTTGTTCAATAAGTGCAACAAAAAAAAAAGATCCTGCCAGATATTCAACACTGAAAAGGCCGGCACGTACAGCTCCGTGCTGCGTGCACGGCCCTATCGGGCAGTTCCCGGGAAGCACAGGTGCTGCGTGTGGGAGTATGCGGCCGCCCTGCGCTCACCCGCCCTGCATGGCCGTGGGGGTGCCCGTACTCGTACGCTGACAGGATGGATCCTGTCTGTGTCCGAGCCGGGATACCCGCACCCGTACGGACCTGCACTTGGGGTGAGCGTACGGCCGCGTACTCCCATAGAGAAGGACAGGGGCTGCGTATTAATCACATGCAGCACCTGTCCTTCCCGGGAGCTGCCTGATAGGGCCGTGCACGCAGCACGGAGCTGTACGTGCCGGCCTTTTCTTGTGTGAATGAGGCCTTAAAGTGATATTAAAGGCAAAAAAATGTTTCCCTCCCCCCCCATGTAAATGTGAGCACTTACCTTAAATGATGTCTCTTATTCTGGTCTTCCTCTCCTTTCCCCATGTTTTCATGTGTCCCTCCAGCGCTGACTGCTCTGTCCCACCGATCCAGCGGTGTCTGCAGGCGGGTGCACGCGTCCATAGACTTACCTTGCGTCTCTGCTCGTCTCCCGGCCGAGAATCGGAACTGCGCATGCGCCCGCCCCAAGATCCTTTGCGGCCGTACGAGCAGTTCCTGATTCTCGGCGTGGGAGCGAGCAGCGATAACGAGGTCAGTTTAAAATGATTTCAAGCGGTTTTTTTTGGGTTTTTTTACACTTCTTGCCTATATCTACTGCTTGCTAGCAGTAGATATAAGCAAACAAAACCGGAGGGTTTAGAACCCCTTTAAGGGCATCTGTACTGCTCACAGCAAACGCAGATAATTTCAGAGATTAAACAATTTTCCACTGAGGCAAGAAACTTAAGCACCGGGCCACTGGGTCCCCAAGTCACCTGCTGTGTTGCTTTTATATCAGAGAAACAATAGGTCATGTTCGAAGGGCTTTAGTCCTTGCATTAACTCATGAGTAAAGTCATTCCCTTTGGATTAGCATTACAGTGTACCTTTCATTCTGCATGAAAACATTCCTGACACGTTACAGTATATAGCAACAGTATCACTTTTAAGAAAAGCTCCACCTTTTAGCATTACAAAGCTGCCCTTAGAGCTCCAGTCTAGTGACTGTGCCTAGGCTGAGATGATGCCATCAGCCTGCTGCAGGCCGGAACAAGCATTTCTTCAGTCTCCTCTTTTCCAGGGACAGTCAGGCTGGGGAGGAAACAGCAACATGAGGCTGGATGTCCTCCAGCCAGGAAATGAGACGGGCTCTATCTGACTTGCTGCAGCTTCTAATGCACATTGTGAGAGGCTCCCAGTGTGCAGTGACATCAGAGGAAGCCATTCCAGTCCAGGAGAGGAGGCGTTACAACTGTGCAAGACTTAAGGGAAGGACGGGGGTCAGATATAAGACTGAAGGGGAGGACGGAGGTCAGATAGAAGACTGAAGGGAAGGGCGGAGGTCAGATATAAGACTGAAGGGAAGGACAGAGGTCAGATAGAAGACTGAAGGGAAGGATGGAGGTCAGATAGAAGACTGAAGGGAAGGATGGAGGTCAGATAAAAGACTGAAGGGAAGGACAGAGGTCAGATATAAGACTGAAGGGAAGGACAGAGGTCAGATAGAAGACTGACCGGAAGGACGGAGGTCAGATAGAAGGGAAGGACGGAGGTCAGATAGAAGACTGAAGGGAAGGACAGAGGTCAGATAGAAGACTGACGGGAAGGACGGAGGTCAGATAGAAGACTGACCGGAAGGACGGAGGTCAGATAGAAGACTGACGGGAAGGACGGAGGTCAGATAGAAGACTGAAGGGAAGGACGGAGGTCAGATAGAAGGGAAGGACGGAGGTCAGATATAAGACTGAAAGGACGGCAGGAGGTCAGCTGTCATATTTAATATCCAGTCTGAGTTATTGCTCATTTCCCATAAAACGTTAGTTCTGCTTCCCTAACATATCCTTTGAAGTCTCATCATTCCGCCATTGTACATCATCTTGGTGAAGCTCTATGACGGCCGTGTGATCATTTATAGCTTTTCTCGGCAGAATTTATGGCCAGATCTGAGCTTTGTGCTTTGACTCGGCCAATAAACCAGCAGCAGTTATAACTCCGCCCACTTTAGCCACAAACAATGCGATTAATCATTCACATTATCTTCAGGATTAATGAGGGAAATGAGACTCACCACAAAATAAGTGTCCGCAGTTGGTTTCGAAGGGTGAAGTGGCGGTCTGAAGGCACACCGGGCAGTTTAAATCGCTGTGGAAGTGTGGATGGCGACTTTTATGAGTGTCCTGAAAACAAAATATTCATGTTTATTCTGGTGGCGGAAAACACCGGAGATATTTGGAGTAAAAATCAAAATCTCAGCCATAGATCTGAACATACAACTATTCTTGTTAAAGAGACTCTACAATCTGTATAAATAAATTCCAGACATGTCACAATGCCTACATGGCAGCATATCATGGGCATGCTGCCATGGATAGGCACAGAGGAAGGAAAATTATGTGAAGAATTGATACAACTGTCACACGTCGGCTCAATAGATCGGGAAGTGAGGGAACACATACCGTCGCTCGCTCACTTCTCGATCATGTCCCTGCAGAGGACCGTGACTGTCACTCACGGCTCCCTGCAGGGATTCCCCTCCCCGCTCCGATCCCCCAGCGCTGACTGGCAGAACGGACGGGGGAGGGGGCGGGTACAGCTGGCTCTGCCTCTAGATAGGTAGAGCCAGCTGTCACTCACGCAGCTGGGTGGATCTCGACAGTAATGTCGGGATCTGTCCCGGCTGTGGCGGTCTCAGTATACCGCGAGCTGTAGCTCCCTATATACTGAGCTTTGGGTCACGGGAGGATGCTAGTTTGTGTCCTCCCGTGACCCTGAGGAGAACTGTGGGGGAAAACACTTACCCCATAGTTCTCCTTTAAGTATTGATACAATTTTCTGTTTTCCTGAGAACGTACTTTGTGTTGTGTTGCTGAGAATTGTCCTCCATCCTTCTTCTGGGCACTGTTGTCCAGCTTATTCATGGTGGAACACCTACAAAATATTCAAATAATAACTGATATCACTATTGGAAGAATCACTTTTATACAGGTTCATGAATAGAAAAGTAAACATTAAGTCTACCCTGCGACCATCTTTCCTCTAAGGACACGTGAGTGATATACTGTATGTGGGCCTTCCCAGTCATGAGGTTTTATCATCTTTGGGGGTTTGGGCCATTTGCCTATAACTAATGGGATTGTATCTTCACCTGGGACACCTCCTTAATCTTGGTGCTTTTGACACATTATGATTGATGAAAGAGATGCCACACATTCATTCATTCATCCTCTGCTACATGAGATCTGTATATTAGAACTGAACTATTATAGAAGCGAAGGGACATATGTTTGATATTTATATGATATGTCTGTTATTCCATGAGATGATCTGCACATGTTTGAGCTGCACATCCTTGAAAAAGTGGATTTTGTTCCAACGATTGGGTAGAAAATGATTGTATGCAAGATAATCTATGATCTATGTTGCCCCACCAGCACCACCACCACTATCAGTATTTTTTTTAAGAGCCCGTGGAACGTGCATCGAAAAACGACTTCCCCCTGTGAACAAAAAAAGTAAACTGTGAAATCACAGCACACAAAAACGTGCACAAGGGTGCTTGGTCCTTTAATAAAGGGACCTCGATTCTCGACCCCCCCGGGGCGCAAGGCTCCTGACGGGTTGAGACTGTTGGTCCACCAACCCGAAGGCCGGTGGACACCGATCCTTTGGGGACCTGCCGAAACAGGTCCCACACAGTACTAAGTAGGGGCTCTCCCGAAGAGAGACCCCCGCTGGTTTGGGAGGAGACAGAGAACCCTATATAAGGGCACAGAATCTCCTCCCCACATCAGGAAAAGGCCCAGAAAGAACCTGAACCCGCTGCATCTGCGGGTCAAAATGTAAAAAAAAATAAAAAGTGCCAAACGTGCATGTAGTGCAATAAATGAATAAATAGTGCCAGTGCGCCACGCTGACAGGCCCTAGGGGCCGGAGTGCAAAAATATTGCCCCAGACTAGCCATAAGGCCTGTCATGGAGGCGTTGTGCAGAAAATGCAATGTGGTGTGTGACCTAGTGCATCAGTGAGTCAAAGTGGGTGCACCCCTGTGACTTTCTGAGCACCCCTGGGACGCCACCCCCAGGGGGCACAACACCACGGGCTCTGCCGCCTCCCAGCCCTCCAGCCTCGACCAAGCTTCGTATCCATTCATTATCAGGAAGCTGAGCACCTTACAGAGGTCCGTCTGCCAAACGCACCCATTAACGAAGAGTCGTTAGCCCGGTGTGATAAGAACAGATACTATACTTGATCTTAGCCAAAAGGCCGAGAAGTGACCAGTGCTGCAGGTATGGTAGACACCAGTGCAGGTGTTGTATCTCTGCCCTCATCCAAGACATCACCATGTTCAGATGAGAAGACAGGACCACCAACTTGAAGAGACTTTTAAAGGCCACTAGGAACCTCTTCCTCAGGTAACAGCGACCACCAGAATAGGGTCTCTGGTGCCCTTGAAACATTGCTTCCTGTTGGTGACAATAAAGTGTCTGGTCTTCTCATTTGAACATGGTGTGCTGGTGATATCTTAGATGTTGTGGTGGTGCCATCTGCCATTTTACCATAGCACCTTTTTATGATTGAGTCTGAATGTTGCATTGAGTGTGCTGGATTTATGTATCCCTGCCCCTGTCTATGATTGCCCATTCATGTGACCGCAGTATCTGCTATGTGAATGGGCAAGCATAGAACCTGTTGCTCTTTTTACCAGCAAATGTTAGCTGTTCAGTTTGATGACAAGTAGACCTCACTGAGCAATGCTTTCCTTATCTCGCCACCACCACCACCATCCTTCTTCGCACCTGATGAATCGATCGTCACCACCATCTAACGTCATTCCCCAAGTGTCAACTCAGTTGCCTCCCTGGTTCCAAGTGTAATAAAATGTCTGCACGTTTCAAAACAAAGGTTCCATGTTTTGCAACACAAGTCGCGTCAGTGACTACCTCAGGATATTTTCATACACTATATGACTGTATTAGTCAATCAGTGAGATCTTCACTGAGCCTTGATAAGGGTATGTTGGAGCGGAGCAAAGGTCTGTGCTTGCATTGATAGCGGAATAAGATAAACCCCTTGACCTAGACGATGCAGATAACATCAGCGCATGCAACAGTTTACAAACATTCTCTGCCCTGGTTCAGGCCAACGTGAACAGTAGCTGGTAACCCTTGACTCCCTGCATTGAAAGTTATTCCAGTGTTATTGCCAAACCCACACGAAATAAAAAGAGGGGCATTTTTAAGAACATAGTATGTAGGCCTGGGGTAGGCAACATCACAACTCCAGCTGTGGTGAAACTGCTAATACCATCATGCTTCTGCCTCTGGGGGCTATCCTGCGGCTGCCAGAGTCTTGCAATGCCTTATGTGACTTGTAGTTCCAGCTGGAGTGTGGAACGTTGCCTACTCCTTGGGGTGTGTCCATTGCCTGCTTCAGAGGGTGTCTACCCTTTGGAGGATGTTTTTTCGCCTACATCAGAGGTTGCCTTCCCCTTGGGGTGTGTTTATTGCCTACATCACAGGTTGCCTTCCCATTGGGGTGTGTTTATTGCCTACATCAGAGGTTGCCTATCCCTTGGGGTGTGTCTACTGCCTACATTAAAGGTCGCCTACCCCTTGGGGGGTGTTCATTGCTTACATCAGAGGTTGCCTACTCCTTGAGCTGTGTCTATTGCCTACATCAGAGGTTGCCTTTTTCTTGGGGTGTGTTCATTTCCTACATTAGAGGTTGCCTTGCCCTTTGGGGTGTGTTATTTCCCTACATCACAGGTTGCCTAGCCCTTTGGGGTGTATCCATTGCCTACATCAGAGGTTGCCTAACCCTAGATAAAAGATTAAAGAAAATTCTCACCCCACCCCACCCTTTCAAAAGAAACCTTTATTTACTTTGACAGCATGGAGGAAATTACACAGCACTGAGCACAGTTGATTTGCATGATATCACTTCATAGCCCCTGACGAAGCCCCAATTTGTGGGGACACATGTTAGGTGAAGGGATAAGCCTTTATTATGAGTAGGGTTAGGGAGAGTCAAACAAGTATACAATATTGTTACAACATTTTTACAAATTCCCTATCCCTAACAGGTTTGATATTGACAAAATAATATAGAGGGATATAGTTTGATAGTTGTCAAATAATAGTTATGTTTTATTATAAAGGGGTAGGCATATACCGTGTTTCCCCGAAAATAAGACACTGTCTTATATTTTTTTTGGCTCAAAAAAACACAATAGGTCTTATTTTTGGGGGAGGTCTTATTTCTTTTTTTAATGTACAACAATCCACACTTAATCATGTAGAAAAGTCTACATGTATTCATGTACAAAAATATGGTGATCAGGGCAATCAGGGGTGCCGTACCTTTCCAAGAGCAATTTGCTAACCAAACACTGGCCAGAATGAGCGAAGCGCGCTTTCACTATGGATTCCTCACAGGCGGAGCACATCTGGTATCACTCCGCCTGTGACAGGAGATGGCGCTATAGAGGAGGCATCGGCTTATGCGGCTCTGCTCCCTCCGGTAACGCCTTGCTTCCTCTAGCGCTGGCTTCGTAGGCACCGCTGATTCTCTCCCGCGGCTCTTTAAGTTCCCACTTATGCCACCACCGGCCCTGGGAATGGTCACAACTAGGTCTTATTTTCGGGGAAGGTTTTATATTTTAGCAATTCCCAAAAATAGTACTAGGTCTTATTTTTCGGGGTAGGTCTTATTTTCGGGGAAACAGGTAGTAATAAATAATTGATGTCAATAGTAAAATAGTAAATTGTAAAATTGATGTCAATTTTCAACACGTCAAGCTGATTTATATTTAATATCCTCGACAATAAATGATTGTTACTTACTACTACTTTTCCTTTATATCAGTGTTTAATAATGTAATGTTAAATAATTTTAGAGGGAAGAAAATGTTATTGCAATGTAACATTTTGATGTCTAAAGAGGTCTAAAAATCAACATACTCTTCAAGTATCAAAAGGCCAACAAAAAAAGAGAGTAGAGAGGAGACAAAGGTTATTTTTTGGCCAATGTTACTGTGCATACATAAAGAGTAACTCTGGCCTTGTTTTGGGGGGAGAGATGGGGAAGGGGCTCTGTTAGGCAAATCCAGTATAGTTGTCTGTGACCAAATGGATCAAACTGCTTATTTACTATCCAAATGACAACTCACCGGGTGAGGACAATTCTCCATCAGGCACATAGACATTAATACAAAGCTGACAGAGGTCCTAACTCTTCTCCACCCTGATCAAAAGTTACAAAAAAAGTTGCTGGAGTTGCACCTATGCAGTCCGATGTGATGCATCTTAATATACACCTGCCATTCGCATATATGACGTTCATAGGTCTGTGATGTTCATGGCCAAGCATAGTTCTCAGAGTGATTACATCATCACACTGAATGCGCTACACTGCCGGTCACGGGACCAATGTTATGATTCTGGTTATCATCCTAATGGCTGGTAAGTGTAACATTTGCTATACTTTACACATGTGTTTGCTCACATCGCTAGCAATAACCCCTTACACACACATGCTGACCAGCTGGGCCATGGCGATGCGTCTGCGTCTTGTTATGATAACAGCAATCCATGCAGAACTAAATCAATCACACGGATTGTTTTCCACAACAACAACAATAATAATACGGGCTATGTGACACGCACCCGCTACAGGATACATATCATTATATTTTGTATCCCTTTGTGCACCCATAATCGCTAAACATGCCCAATCTACACAAAATTAAATCTGTTACAATTGTATTTCATTTTTTTGCAATTAGCCTTTAAGTTGATACTTATTGAAAAGCAGCACCTAAAGGGTCAATCTATCCAAAACTGAGATTCCAGTTACTGGTTAATCTGGGAGAGAGAGAAGAGAGAGAGGATAGTAAGGGAGAGAAGATAGATAACGTGAAGAGAAAGAGAACGTGAAGAGAAAGAGAGAGAGAATAAAGAAGAGGGGAGAGAGAGAGAGTGCGAGAGAGAGTAAGGGAGAGAAGATAGGGAAAGAGAAGATAAAGAGAGAATAAGGGAGAGAGATAGAGAGAAAGAAAGAAAGAAAATAATAAGTAATAGTGAAGGGAGAAAAGAGAGAGAAGAGTAAAGGAGGGAAGAGACAGAGGGAGAGCAGATAGATAAAAGGGGAGAGAATAAAGAAGAGGGGAGAGAGAGTGCGAGAGAGAGAGAGAGAGAGAGAGAGAGAGTGTGAGAGTAAGGGAGACAAGATAGGGAAAGAGAAGATAAAGAGACAATAAAGGGAGAGAGATAGATAGAGAGAAAGAAAGAAAATAATAAGTAATAGGGAAGGGAGAAAAGAGAGAGAAGAGTAAAGGAGGGAAGAGAGAGAGGGAGAGCAGATAGATAAGTGAAGAGAAGGAGGGAGAGAAGAAGAGGGGAGAGAGAGAGAGTAAGGGAGAGAAGATAGGGAAAGAGAAGAGAGCGAGGAGAGTAAGGGAGAGAGAGAAATAGCAAACTCCCAGAAACTCACTATTTACCAATCATTACAGAGAGAATACAAACTGGCCCCATACCTGGAGGTACTACGAGACCCCAAGGACAGACAAATCCTGAGCCAGTACAGACTGAGTGCCCACAGCTTGGAAATTGAATCAGGGCGGGATAGACCTACAAGCCCAGGGAGAGTAGACTGCACCAGCAGTGTGACCAGGGGGCCCTGGAAGATGAGGTCCACTTCCTCCTACAGTGCCCCAAGTACTCAGCACTAAGGGGCGCTCACTTCCAGAGGCTCTCCGCTCTCATTCCGGACTTCACCTCTATAGAAGAGAAGAGGAAACTCTGCATTGTACTGGGAGAAGAGGGGCCGACACTATGTAATAGAATGTTACAGACTGAGAGGGACATGAGAGATCCTGGACTTATAAATCCCCAACATGGATCACCCCCATCCCCCCTTCATATTATCCCTTACCACTGATTATATCCCTGGACTTACCTATTACCCCCATATCATCCTTTACCCCTCATAATGTTCTACTACCCCTACTAGGGAGAGGAGATAGGGGGAGAGAAGAGAGAAAGGGAGAGGAGAAAGGGAAAGGAGAGAGGGGGAGAGAGAGAAAAATGGAGAGGAGAGAGGGGGAGAGAGAGTAAGGGAGAGGAGAGAGGGGGGGAGAGAGTAAGGGAGAGGAGAGAGGGAGAGAGAGAGAGAGTAAGGGAAAGGAGAGAGTGGGAGAGAGAGAGTAAGGGAGAAGAGATAGGGGGAGAGAAGAGAGAAGGGGAGAGGAGAGAGAGTAAGGGAGAGGAGAGTGAGTAAGGGAGAGGAGAGAGGGGGAGAGAGAGTAAGGGAGAGGAGAGAGGGGGAGAGAGTGTAAGGGAGAGGAGAGAGAATGTAAGGGAGAGGAGAGAGAATGTAAGGGAGAGGAGAGAGGGGGAGAGAAAGTAAGGGAGAGGAGAGAGGGGGAGAGAGAGAGTAAGGGAGAGGAGAGAGGGGGAGAGAGAGAGTAAGGGAGAGGGGAGAGAGAAGAAAGAGAGAGAAGAGAAAGAGGAGAGTAAGGGAAGAGTAAGGGAGAGGAGAGAGAGAAGAAAGAGAGAGAAGAGAAAGAGGAGAGTAAGGGATAGGAGAGAGAGAAGAGAGAGAGAGAAGAGAAAGAGGACAGTAAGGGAGAGAGAGAGAGAGAGTGTAAGGGAGAGGAAAGAGGAGGAGAGGGAGAGTAAGGGAGACGGGGAGAGAGAGAGTAAGGGAGAGGAGAAAGAGAATGAGAGAGAGAGAAGGGAAAGGAGAGAGGAGAGTGAGAAGAGAAGAGAAGAAAGAGAATAGAGGGGGGGAGAGAGAGAGGAGAGTAAGGAAGAAAGAGGTAAAGGTGAGACAGAGGGGGTAGAAACCTCCCCATATGCTTTGGCAATGCTAAAATGTATTTGGTCCTGCCAATAAGGCTTATTTGAATTTGAGCGTTGAGAGGGAGAGAGAGAGAAAGAGAGAGGGAGAGTGAAATAGAGAGAAAGAGAGAGAAAGAAGGGTGCACATACTTTTTTAATGCTATTTCCTTGTTTTCGCATTCTGTTACATGTTGCCCTTTAATGTAAAAATAACATATTTGCACATTAAAAATTGTATCAATAGGTATTGCTTCTCAGCCTGCAAAAGACGTTTTAATTTCGCGGGACTGTGAAAATTAACAAAATGTGTCATTTCCACGGGAGTCCAAACCTTTACATAACATTGCACATGTGAATCCCTAGATATAGATAGATAGATAGATAGATAGATAGATAGATAGATAGATAGATAGATAGATAGATAGACAGACAGACAGACAGAGAGTATGTTTATCAAGGATGTTTCTGAGGTCAGGATAGAATTATTTATTTTGGGCCGTGTTGGAAAATGAGTATTTATTTTATGTGATTATATAGTATATACTGCAAACTGCACAATTGTCAACTTTCCATTGTTCTGGGGGCCCAAACCTCTGTCAGTAGAGCCCTATGAGGCATGTAACCGACCTGCAGACCCCAAAAAAATTATTTTGGGGTCTCTATTCCCCAGATTGTTCACCAAAACCTAAATTTTATGTGCAGTGAGAATGTTTCTTTATTACTTGATATAGAGTAGAGAAGGCATAAAGCCCCCTGTAATTTTATCGTCAGCTGCCCCCTTGGGGAGATCTACCTTTACTTCCTGTTACAGAGACGCAACAGGAAGCAAGGAAAATCTCTACAAAATGGGGGGGAAATTTCCCTCTTTTCACAGTTCTCACAGGAACAGAAAGATTCCCCTTCTGTCTTATACTGGTGACAACCCTATATTTTTTGGGTTTTCCATCACTTCCTGTCTTGATGGCAGTGGTCACCAGGACACATAGAGAAGGTGAAACTACACAGGGGGTGACACAGACAGCAATAAAAACCTGACAGAGGTTCTATCTAGCCCGAACTTCCAAAAATAAAAAGTTTTGGCTATTCATACACTTTACCCCAAATAATCCAGACGGCTAAATCCTCTAGCTGACCATGTCGGAGTCACTTTGAATTTCATGGCGACCCGCTTACCTGGACTGCGCTGGGCTGCAGCATGTGTGACCGTTCATGTCGCGGCTGTCAGCGGAGGGTTTATCCTGCACGTCTCAGCGACACGCCAGCTGACAACAAACTGCTGTAACTGGATGTCATGGCAGTTAGAGTGACAAGGCGGCCCGTTAATCATTAAACCGGAGTCAAGGTTTTCATAATAAAACAAAAACCCACACGAACTGGGTGAGTAACGGAATGAACCAGATCCACGGCACGCCGATCACTTATGTGAAATATTTTTTGCAAACAAAAGAGAGAAAAAAAAAGGAACTTGTCTTCAGCGATAATATTAAACTTCCCGGATCAATCATTAACCCGATCACACTCATGTCACAAGAAGCTTGGTCATATGACATTGGAAGAGCATGCTGCTGGACAGGCGGCCGCAATATAGGGGGGAGATGGTTTAGCAAGTTAGCAAATATTTCTGGTAGATAATCTGATGGAAGTTTTCCCGAAAGTGATGAAGGTGCAAAATTCAGGGTTTCCACAGAAAGGAAATTATGCAGCAGGAAGAGGGATAAAGTTATGCAATTCTCCCATTGTAAAATTACTATGAACCTTTTTTATTATGTTATCGTTACTACTATTATTATTATTATTATGTATTACTATTATTAGGGCTCAAAATTTCAAGTCCTGAGCTACTAGCGAGGCCTTAAGAGTTACTTGCCACCAGTTCCCCTCCTAACCCCTACCTTGCCCCGGCCTTAACTCCGCCCCTAAATACACCCTCTTAAATAATCTTATAAATTACACTGTTAATGTTTTATGCAGAATAAAGTTACAAAAATAAATAATAACAACTTTAACAATATTACCATAAAGCTCACTGGCCCACCCACATATAAAATAATAAACTCTCCCCCCCTGTTCCCTGCCCCCACATATAAAATATTACATGTGACATTATATAATATTACAATATTACATTATATCATTATATGTGACAGTCCATTGCGCAATGGACTGGGAGGAGGCCACGTGCCCAACCATACCCAGAAATAAAAGCTATTTTCCATCTGGTGCAGTAGAGGAAGGAGCACCCCCAGGCACCCTCCCTAGTCCCCTCAAAACTGGGTCAGTACTCACACTCACCCCACACCTGCAAGCCTTTACTTATCTTGTCCACGGTGGCCCCCTACGCTGTCTGCCCGGCCATTAAAAATCTAGTACCTGGTGTGCTATATATATATTGTGGTATTGCGTGGCAATCCCACAGTGGAACTGGGGGATGTAGTCACCCAGGACTCTCAGCCAGATGGACTGAGCAGTTCCAGGAAACAAATTATTTTGCTGGGAAAGAACTGGCTTTGCAGTTCTCTGCAGAAAACCTGGATTTGGCACGGGATCCTGGAACTGGGAGATTTCAAAGAGAATTGGGAGGGATGAAATCTCCATTTCTGGGTCCATAGTTTAGTAGGGTTGAGCACCTAATGATTGCACACCTGTGCACAGCATGGGCTCCAGCTGGGAAAATGAACAGAGGTGTCCAGGAGTCAGGTGGACTCCACCCAGAAGTCAGAGTGGAGCCAGGAGGCTGTGTGTGTGCTGGAGGCACCAGGGAATCAAACAAGGAGGCTTAGTGAGCCTGTGACACACAGGGGATGTGTGGAAGAGTTACATGGAGTATATGTGACAATGCTGAGTTGGTGAGACATTGTTACACATTTATTGACTCCTTGATGAAATATAAGCAGACTCCATGTTATATTGCTGACGAAAAGCTTGTTTCTGTATTGGAAGCAATAAAAAAAACTGTCTTTTTATGTTACAACGGCTTCAAGACTGGGCCTTAAGCGCTTGCCATTTGTGCTAACTTTCCCAAACATCACAATGTGTGTGTGTGTGTGTGTGTGTGTGTGTGTGTGTGTATGTATTATTATTATTGTTATATAAGTTTAATGTTATAAATGAGATCAGAATCTCTCCATATTTTCACTCTTGTATAACCGGCTGTAAAATCATTATAACACGTCGAAGGTCTAACAGCTGCCATAAATTCCAGTCATATGGCGACCGCCGTCACACCTACTGAGTGTTTCCGACAGCGAGGGAGAACGCACGGAGAGAATGGTGTACAGCAGCCCAGTCTGTCTGATAACATATCAGGAGTCCTAGTATAGCTATAACTGGTTTTCATATAGTGGATTGTGTAACTCCCTGTGTAACCAGGACCAGATCTAAGCTCTGTCTGTATATAACAGCGGTTCTCAACCTTTCTAGGGCCGGGACCCCTTGGTAACATTTGCCAAGTTATGGTGACCCCCAACGGTAAAATTTAGGGATGGCGCGGCTGCTTCAGCGACATCTGGGAGAACTGACACTGCTCTGCTGGGAGAGTGCTCACCTAGCACAGCAGAAAGCACACAGATTAGGTGGCAGAATTAGGTGGCAGATTTGGATACAAATAGTTTTAGTTTTAAATAAAGTATTTCCACTTTCGACACAACAAAGCGATGAACGCAGAGGGGGAAAAAAAAATGGTTTGCATGAATTCTAAAAACAAATGTTCCGCACTCAACCGGCAAAGCACCCTCCCCATGTTGAGGGCATGTGCAGGGCCGGATTTACTCTCTCTGCTGCCCCAAGGCCAGATTCCTCAATGCGCCCCCCTCACCGCCAAACCATCCCCCCCTGGAGAATTGACGTTCTCCGCTCTGCTCCCCGCTCTCCATCCTGAACTACCTTGCAGTGGTCGCCGGTCCCTCACCAAAGTGGGGGACCCTGAAAACCGCGGCGGGGAGAGAGGCAGCCAGAGATGGGGGCAGACAATGGTGGGGGGGACAGACCTGCAGGCTTATTACAAGTGATCTCGGTGGCATTGCCGAGATCACTTGTACAAACCAAGTGGTGGCTTCCCCGCTTTACATTTAGAACATTTAGTTCTCTACATGTAGAGAACTACCCGCCTGGCGGCTGTGCTGCCCCCCCTACTCCCTGCTGCCTCAATGGCCTTGTGGGAAATCCGGCCATGGGTTTGTGG